TCCGTGGTACATTCAATACTCTTCTCCAGCACCACAGCTCAAAGGCACCAATTATCCTTCTATCCTCTCTAGTCATTGTCCAACTCTCTGATGCATAACAAGTGATTGCAAAGACCATAGACTGTATCAGATGCACCTTAGTCTCCAGAGTGGCACCATTGCTCTTCAGTACCCTGGAGAGGTCACTAACAGCAAACTTTCCCATTGCAATACATTTTTTTAAATTTCCTGGCTGCTGGTGCCAAGAGTGTTGACCGTGGAGCCAAGCTGACTAAAGTTGTTGACAATCTCGATCTCTTCACGGTCCATCCTGACGCTGCCAACTGGTCCAGTGGTGAGAATCTTTGTCTTCGTGACATTGAGCCTCAATCCATATTGAAGGCTGCAGTCCTTAACCCTCTGCAGCAAGCACTTCAGGTCCTCCTCAGTTTCAGCAAGCAGGGTTGTGTCGTCTGCATAACGCAGATTGTTAATAGATCTTCCACCAATCCTGACGCCACACTTCTCTTCATAGAGCCCAGCCTCTCGAATAATCTGTTCTGCGTACAGGTTAAAAACGTATGGAGATAGGATGCATCCCTGGCATACACCTTTCCCAATTTTGAACTATGCAGTGTTTCCTTGCTCTGTTCTGATGACTGCCTCTTGGTCCAAGTATAAGTTTCACATTAGAACAATCAAGTGTTCTGAGATTCCCATTCTTCTCAGAGTCAGCCACAGTTTGTTATGATCCATGCAGTCAAATACATTTGCATAATCAATGAAACACAGATAGACATTCTTCTGGTCTTCCCTGCTTTCAGCTAAGATCCATCTAACATCAGCTACAATATCCCTAGTACCACAACCCCTTCTAAACCCAGCCTGGACTTCTGGCAGTTCTCTGCTGATGTGCTGTTCTAGTTATTTTTGGATAATCTTCAGTAGACTCTTGCTTGCATGTGAAATCAATGATATTGTTCTACAGTTTACACACTCTATTGGGTCACCTTTCTTTGGAATGGGAACAAATATAGAGCTCTTCCCATCAGTTGGCCAAGTGGTTGTTCTCCAGATTTCTTGGCACAACTTGGTGAGAACATCCAGGGCAGCATCTTTTAGCTGAAATAAGTCAATTGGTATACCATCTATTCTGGGGGCTTTATGTTTTGCTGTTTTCTTCAAAGCAGCTTTAACTTCTTCCTTCATCACCATAGGCTTTTGCTCATATGTTATTTCATTAAATTCTTCTGTTTCTGCCAATTCCTCTTGATACAGTGACTCAGTATGTTCTTTCCATTTTCTTTTAATACTTCCTGGATCATTTAATATTCTGCCTAAAGCATCCTTGATTATAGCAACTTGAGGTTTGAATTCGTTCTTCACTTGAGCTTAAGAAATGCTGAACGAGTTCGGCCCATTTGATTTTCTGACTCCAGCTACTTGCACATTTCATTGTAAATTTTGCTTTGTCATCCCGTGCTGCCTTTTGGAATCTTCTGCTCAGCTCTTTAGCATCTTTAATTCTTCCTTGTGCTTTGGCTTCTCTGCGCTCCAGTGCAATGTTCAGAGTTTCTTCAGACATCCATTTTGGTCTTTTTTTTCCTCTTCTATCTTCGTAATTACAATTTGCACTCTTCCTGGATGATACTCTTGATATCCTCCCACAACTCACTAGGTCTTTGCTCATTAGAGTTCAAGGCCTCAAACCTGTTTCTGAGAAGGTTCTGAAATTCAGGTGGAATGAACTCAAAGTCAAATTTTGGTTCCTGTGGATTCGGTTTAATTTTCCTCCACTTCAGCTTGAACTTGTATATGAGTAGTTTGTGTCTGTTCCACAATCAACTCCTGGCCTAGTTTTCACAGTGGTTCTTTCCGCAGATGTAATCAATCTGATTCCTATGCATACCATCAGACGACATCCATGTGTAAAACCTGTGTTTATGTTTCTTATAAAACGTATTTGCAATGAATAAGTCATTGGTTGTGCAAAATTCAATCATTCTATCTCAGCTTCATTTCTGTCACTGAGTCCATGTTTTCCAACTACTGATTCTTCTTCTCTGTTCCCAACTTTTGCCTTCTAGTCACCCATTATTATCAATGCATCTTGATTGCATGGTCGATCAATCTCAGACTGTAAGAGTTGGTAGAAATCATCTATTTCTTCTTCTTTGGCTCTGGTTGTTGGTGCATATATCTGAATGATAGTGGTAGTCACTGGACTTCCTTATAAGCATATGGATATAATCCTATCACTCACAATTTTGTACTTCAAGATGGGTCTAGAAATTACTTTTTTTAACTATTAAAGCAACCCCATTTTTTCTCGCCTTTTCATCTCCGGAGTAATGTATCATATGATCATCTGACTCAAAATGCCCCATGCCAGTCCATCTCATCTCTCCAATGCCTAGTATATCAATATTTATGCGTTCCATTTCTTTCTTAACAATTTCTAATTTTCCTTCATTCATGGCTCTCACATTCCATGTACAAATCACTAGGGTCTGCTTACAACTGTTCCTCCTCCTTTGTATTTCCATACTTTATAGTTCTACCTAGGTTGCCCTTTCTGTTAATCTGCGTGTGTTCTGTTGTGCATAGGGTTTTCAGAGGCCTACTATTTCAGAAGTGGATGGCCAATCCTTCTTCCTAGTTTGTCTTAATCTAAATGTTCAGATTTAGAGGAGTATCTGACAGATAAGCAATTGATAGAGCAGTGAAATATAAATCCCATTGTGGAGTTAACCATTAGTTACAGTGTTGTCCCTACACTTGGCCCAGTGTCTTGACCTACTTATTTCCCAGCTCTACCCTCCACCTGGATACCCCTTCACTTTTACCAAATCCCATCAGCATTTATTTTCCATTGTCCAACCCTTGATCTGACAGCTTGTATCTGAAGCTTTCTTGGCTTCTGGGATTCCAAACACGTCAACTGCTGACAATTTCTTATGCTGTGACCAGTGTATCTAAGTTTATTGGTAATGTCTCCAAAGGGAGGGTCATGTGTCCTGTAGAAGTACAGGTTGCATTTTTTCTTCTTGGCCTGAGGGCCATAGGCCCTTGGGCCCAAAAGATCTTGGCTCAGCCTTGGGGCTTTTGTACCTCTAGACATGGCAAAGCTTTTCCCTTGAGCTGCTTCCCTATTGGCTGGCCCCTAGTTTTTGTCTGCATGGCTTTCAGTATCCCCCGTTCTCCCCTCTGCATATCTCGGGAATGACCTTGGCTCAGTTTGGGCTTTTGCACCTGTAGGCATGGCAAAGCTTTTCCCTTGAGTCACTTCTCTTGTCTGGCCCCATAGACTGCCAAAAAACAAACATATCTTGGAAAAAGAGTAGCCAGAGTGCTCCTTGGAGGTAAAGATGACAAAATATCATCTTTCATACTTTGGACATGTGGCTAGGAAAGGAAATTCCTTGTAAAGGGACATTGTTCTTTGAAAGGTGGAAGGTTGGAGAATGAGAGGAAAACCCTCAATGTAATGGATTGACACAGTGACTGCAGTAATGTGCTCAAATGTGTCAGAGAGACTATATAGATGACACAGGATAGCATAGGGTTCATACCTGTTGTTCATTGAGTCAAACATGTTTTAACTTAAAAACACCTAACAGCAATTGATTGAGATAGATAGATGATAAAGATATAAATAGAGATACAGATTTTTGTTGTTGTTATATAGTATAGTCAGAATTGACCCATAGCTGACTCTCTGGCAGATTTTCAAAGGCAGTTAATCCCACAGGATGTGCAGCCGGTGGTCTTGAAATGCGTGTCTTCAGGATTGCAGTGCAGCTTTTTGCTACTAGGCCACCAGACTTCCATATATATATTTACTGTATATGTTAATGTATCACACTATACTGTAAAACCTATGTAATATGATGGTCATGAATGTGGCATCCTTCTTGTAATATTTTAAGGGGAAAAGATATAAAA